GCCAGTTTGTGATAGTGCAAGGAAGGGGAAGTATTATGAAATAAGTCTGGAAAAATAATTGGGTACCAGATGGTATACCCACAGATACTAGCTTCAATTTGTGTTTTATCTTTGAGGCATTAGAGAAGTTTTTTGAACAAGGGAATGACATGGTCAGACCTGTGATTTAACAGCTGTATGAAGGATGGATTGGGGAAGACTGGAAAGAGGCAGATCAATTTAAGATCTATTGTAGCAATTCAAACAAGAGATGAAGAGGACTTGAGCTAGATTAGTGAAGGTGGAAAGGGAATAATGTAAAGTATATTGTGGACATAGAATCAGACTTCGCAACTGATTTTTGATATTGTGGGGAAGGGAGGAGTCAAAGATAACTGAAGTTTAGAATCTGGATGATTGAGATAAAGGTGGTACTCTCACTGGAAATAGGGAAATTAGAGGAGGTTGGGCAATGGGCATATAAGGAAGATGAGATCTCTTTGGGGCATATGGAATTTGAGGAGCTTACATCTAGGTGGGGATATTTTTCAGATGGTTGATAATTTAAAACTGGTATTCTGTTGATTGAGGAGATAGATAAATAATATGTATTATATTTTAGGGGAGAAGATAAATATATGCCATGTATGAAGGGAGGAGATAGCTATATAATGTCATATATATTATATGTTTTATATATATTATGTTTTCATATGTAACATAATATCCTCTAATATATATTACATGTATTATTTGATTATATTGGGGAAGGAGTTAGAGATATGATATATGTTATCTCCTCCCCTAATACAAAGATATTACATGCATACATAATACATATATACTACATGTATTATATATCATGTCTATACGTTATATTATATGTATATTTTTACGTGTGTATATATATATATGAGTCATACATGTAATGATATAAACATTGATTAAAAAAAGGCATGTGAGGAAAAGTTATGAAGTTATAAAGAAAAATAGTTGATTAGAAAGGGAAGCTAAAAATAAAGTTTCCAGGATAGATATTCTAAGAAGTGCTGTTGTCACTGGTGCCTAAGCCTTTTCTTTCCATAGGCTTTTCCCTTCTTCTACGATCTCCCTTCTAATCTATCTTCCCTAAGGTAACCATTGCATAAATACCTCTGACCAGATTTTATCCCCTGGAAATGATATGATGAACATAATTCACAATGAAATATAAACAAGCAACAAGGCTTAATGTGTCTTCTTCCATCAGTATTGAAATTTTGTTAGGTGGCAAAAGAAAAAAACTCAAATTGTGGACTTTGTTTTTCCTTTTCAAAAGTAGAAAAAGAATTTGAAAGTAAGGTTAAGCTGTACAGGAGGATGTCCACCTCCTTGGTCCTCAGTTTCCTCAACTGTAAAAAAATTTGACTAGAAGGCCTCTGAGTTTACTTCCAGCTCTAGATCTCTAATATGATGATTCTGTTCCTAAGGGTACAGTCCTTTTTTTATGAGGTGGACTTTTAAAATCTATCTTCTTGATTTGCATCTATGCAAAAATGATTGGTGACTCCAAATCATAGTGTAATTGCCATTGGAGGCTTTGTTTTGACTGTACCTAGGGCTATTTCATATAAACTAAAATAATTGCTTATTTTAATAATAATTATTCGGCATAAAATTACTTCTATAGATATTTCAAGAATAAAAATTTACTCCCTGAATAGTAGGGAAAAGATCAAAATTGGAATACAAAAATGTATTATTTTAAAATGTGGGTGGGTGAGGGTAGATACTGTATATAAAAGATAATCATCACCAAATCAATAACCTTATAACCAGATTTTTGTGCATTTGCTACTCTGACATTTAGAGCTCATTTCATTCTTAAGGGTTTAACAAGTTGAATTAATTGGATCAGAGAAAGACATCCTAGAAAATTCAGTCCAGAGTAAGGGAAATATTGTAATAAGAATTGTATTGATCTAAGGCTAGGGAAACAAAATACTGCATTAAAAGTTGAGCTTAAACCTAAATATAAAAATTCTTTCATTTAACCAAACTTTTCTGACTGCTTTTGAAAATAATGTTTGCTAATTTTGATTTGGGTACTTATAAAAGATTTTCAGTTCTAAATTGTTGAAAAGATAATTGTACCTCATGCACTCTAAAATGCCTATCTTTTGTCCTTAAGTTTTCACTTCTGACTCTACTAACAAGAATGTCACTTTTAACTTTTATGATAGGAACATCTCCATTTTGTACACTGTGCTGTAATCAATTTCTTTTACAAAGGGATGTAATATTCTAATAACTTCAATTCACTCTCAGTCTAAACCAACTATTACAGTAATGGTGGAAGATCCTTTCATTGCCAATGCCTTGACTCAGCCCTTCTTGACTAGGGGATTAACTTCATCCAGCCCTTCTTGAATTAAGGATTAACTTCAAGATAGCCTTATATGATTTGAGTATCTGTAGTCCATGGTACCTTATTGATTGCGTTCTTGCCTATTAGGCTTTGAGAGATGATCCTAGTCTATAAATTCTCTTCTCTCAAATCTTTCCTTAAAATGACAAGCTGTTATTTGTGAAATTTTTACTTTTTTGGTGCAGTTTTTAGGAAAAACAGAAAAAAACCTTTTCTTATGGGAGTTATTTTTTAATCTGACCTATCTTTGGTCTAAATAAAAATTTGGTTTTCCTCAAAGAGCAAAAATAGATTATTAGATCTGACACTATGCTCAAATATATTATTATTACCTTTAAATTTCTTATCCTGTTTTCAGACTTTGCTAACAGTTACCGTTGAATGAATATCTCAGAACAACTAGAGTGGAGGTATCAAACTTGACCTGCGTTTCATGGGTCCCCAAAACTCTCAAGTATAACTTGAAGAAAATTAGAATGTGATTTGGAAGTGTTTAATAAAATAAGTAAAAAAATACAGAACAACACACATAATGTTAATTTGTGGTTTTCTGAGTGAATATGCAGACTTTGGGGATCCATTGAACCCTCCTGATAAAAAATCATAAAATTTAAACACACACTAAATTAAGAAGTGGGTTGTGTTTCCAAAGTTCATTTGTAAGTCATTTGGAATTTAGAACTTATTTTCCTAAGAATATAGGAATTATTAAAGGATATAAGATTTTGTAGGGCTGGGAAACTGTCTGGCCTGGTGTTTTCATTTACCAACACAGTTCTTCTACTTCTGAAATGTAGCAGATAATTTCTTAGGAGTTGCCTTAGGCACTGAGTAGGTAAGTTAATTGCCCAGGGTCGAACAGGTATGTGTGTGTCAGAGTCAGGATTTTTCTCACCCTAGAAATCAGCAGTGGGGACTTTCTCTATCCTTCCACTCAGAACAAACTATAAAGAAAATGAGGTTACTCCTTTACATGTAACTGAAACAAAGTGTTTTCACATTTGTATGAAAGAATTTTTTTTAAGGCAATTGGGGTTAAGTGACTTGCCCAGGGTCACACAGCTAGTAAGTCTCAATTGTTTGGTCTGAGGTCAGATTTGAACTCAAACTGAACTCAAACTGGCCAGGGCCAGTGCTCTATCCGCTGCACCACCTAGTTGCCCCATAAAAGAAATTCTTTAAGTCAGGAAATCCCTGTTAACTGAACAACAATGGACTTTTCAGGTTGAGTTGATAGAGTATCTGGAAGGGGATACTCCTCCCTCCTTTCCTTACCCTTCCATTTCCCTTTTCTTAAGCACTTATTTGTTAAACATGACAGTACTAGATTAACATATTATGCTGATAAATGTTTTAACAACAAGCTCTGCCCCCCAAAAAATATTTATAGCACACTTTTAAGTTCAATCTTCACTATTAACATTTTCTTAAGTCTAAACAATCAACAAAACAATAAATCAAGCCCTGGTTTGTAGCATTTGCCAATTTCTGGGATGTAAATGCTCACACTGAAAAATTAGTAATCAGTTTGGTCAAGTAGACTCTAGCACACCCCTGCTAACATATAAATAAGACATGATCTCTGCCCTCAAAGACCATATAGTCAAGTATGAGAGATGTATGCATGTTTGTATTTATGTATAAATATGTTTATGCATGTGTATTCATGTGCTTGTGTGTGTATCTGTCTATATCCAGTGGGCTTGACTATAATAAGTACAGATAGAGTGTAGAATAGATAAAGTATAGTGTTTCTCTGATGAGGGAGAAATCGCTTCTGGTAGGAGACCAGGAAAGGCTTCATTGAAGAGGAGGGGAAGGTGACATTTGAGTTGGATGTAAGTTAGTTGTTACTTAATTGAGGCCTGCATATATACAGATTTATGTTGCCTTTACTTTTTCTTTTCTCAAGTATTTCTTCCCAAATAAATTTTATCCTTCTCGATCTTGAGTATGACTAACTATAGTTCTTTATCATCCTTTTTAATTTAATTAACCAGTCAAAGATTGTGAAAAAGTGATTTTTTTCTAATAACATAAAAAATATATTTTAACCTTGAAGTTATTTGTGGCTGTTAAATATCACTTCATTTTGTCGGGCTATTCCCTAAAGAAAACAAAATCTGAAACCAACATTAATGTAATCCTTGTTGGTACTGAAACATAATTCAAAGTATCCAGAAGATATAATACTCATGGAAGTGTGAGAAGGTTGTTATATAGCTAGAAAGAATTTTTTTTCCCCATAGAAATGATACAATATTTTTTTTTCTGGGAAGTAATTCTCATTGTTGCTAAATATAGGAACAAATATCTATATCATAATTCTTTTTCCCTTTAAAAAATGCTATTTGTATAACCTCAGTCTCTTTGCATTTTATGTTCTCATAAGAATCTGCTCTGTTTCAACCTAAATTGGAGTTTAAACAAATAAAAGTTTATAAATTTGTTTGAAATTCAAATGGATTTTGAATGAAATGAAATTTCATTAAATGAAAATTGAAAGAAGAATCTCAAATTTTCCCTAAAGACAGAAGTTGTTCAATAATATGCTTAACCTTGGTTAGATAAAATCGAAAACTATCACTTTAAGATTTTTATTATCTTTCTGCAGGAATTATTTGACATTCAAAGGATTCTCCTATCTGTTACAGTTCATAGAAAACAAGTTAGCCCAAGAAAGCCTGCAGTCTGTGGAACTCTATCAAAAAGCGATCATAGATCAAGAAAGGTTTAACTTGCTAATAAGGTTTGTGCTATTTAATTTTTAGTAGAAATGGATAGGAATAATGTTACTTGACCTATGATTTCATTGGTATATAGAACTTCCAGATGAGGAAACTCTTTCAACCAATGCAGACTTGTATCTTCTCTGCAACTTATAGTCTTGGAGAGTTGCCTAGAGAGGCACTTTGAGAGGTTAAGTGATGGAGTTACATAGCCACCATATATCAGAGACAGGTCTTGAACTCAGATTTTCCTTACTCTGAGGTAGTAGCCATATAAAAAGAAGGGACTAGATTTGAGAGAGAATGTAGCAATAGAATCAACAGAACCTGGCAAAGGATTGTATTTGGGAGGCAAGGAAGAGAGAACAGTCAGTGGTAACTCCAAAGTTGCGAAACACCCAGGTTCACTGGAATGATAGCACTGACCTCTGCAGAAATAGGTAAGTTTGGAGGAAAATAAAATGTAGAGAGAAAGGTAGTGAGTCCCATTTTGAATATATTGAGTTTGAGAGATTGATGGATGAGAGACTGAGGAGGTAGGAGGGGATGGGATTAAGGGCACAAGTAGATGGGTCAAAATTGACAAGAAAGACCTCTTCTTTGTCAGAGACTGGAACAAAAGAGACAGTTGCGTATGATATAGAATAGTAGAGAAGTGAGGAACTTGTGATGAATAATGTCTTCTCTCAATACAGCAGGACAGGAAGGGGAATTAGTATAGGGAACTTAAGGAATGACCTCTTGACAGTGCAGTGTCACTCGGTAACAGGAGAACTGATTTTAGCATCAGAGAACTTAAAACTTCAGTGGTTCTCCATTGCCTCTGTGAACAAATGACCTTTCACAATATCTCCAACTTTCCTTTCTATCCCTGCTTCACATTCTATCACATTCTACGTTCCATCTAACCTACGCTACCAGATATTTCCCCAAACTTGTCCTGATTTCTCCCACCTCTGTACATTTGTAGAATACTTTTATACACATATGTAAATGTAAAGTATGTACAAAATAAGACAAAATCATTTCAAGAGAGAGACAGGGTTAATAATTGGGAGATCAGGAGAAGCTTTACATAGGAGGTATGACCAATGTTTTAAAGAAAGCTAGGAATTCCAAAACTCACAGGTAAGGAGGGAATGCATTCCAGATGTGGGAGACCACTTGGGCAAAGACATAAATGCGGGAGATATATTGTGTATGGGAAACAGCCAGAAGACCGATTTGTCTGAAATTAACTAACATTAAGTGTTATGAAATAAAACTAGAAAAGTAGGTGAGAACTAAATTAAGAAGAAATTAAATGCCAATGTCTGTAAGTATTTGTTGAATAAATAGAAGTGGTCATTTTTCTGCATTTGGAAAATAGATATACCTAATCTAATCATTTTTATTCTTTAAATCCATAGCAATAGCAATAACAAGTTTTAAAATTCCTTATGAGTTATAGATATAATACCTGATGATAAAAAATAACTCTTGCTTTTTCTTTAGTTCATAAATTTAGAGCTAGAAGAGACTTTAGAGATTATCCAGTCCAGTATCCTCATTTTATATATGAAGAAATCAAGGCCCATAGAGGTTAAGTGAGCTGCCCAAGGTCACACAAGTAGTAGGTGGAATCAACAGGATTCAAATCCAGGTGTTCTCTATATCCAATACCCTTTTGTACCACACTGCTACTTTTTAAACCAAAACTTTCATTGTCCTATGTACACAGAATGAGATTGCCCAGCTAAAGAATTGTGCATAGTTTTAGACATCAAGGAGTTAAAAGTGGGTTTGATTACCATGCTTTATAAAGCAAGTTTTCCAACATTGCTCTGTTTTACATCTTTGTCAAGAGACATTGTAGTTGCTGCATTTTTATGTCTAGATTATATTACAGATATATTTCAATAAACCATGAAGAACTACCATAGATTCTATAAGCTGTTGGTCTGTGCTTAAATAAACATTTCATGCAGCACCTGTTTTATTTTATAGCCTTTGTAATCAGACTGACATTTTGAAAGAAGAAGACCTTGAAGCATGTGGAGCAGTTGTCCTTCACCAGCTTCAGAGATTGTTACGGCACACATCCACTAAATGCCTCTTACCTGAGGAAGCTCTTATTGACAGAGGTAGTAGTGTGGGTGAAAAGCCAGTCAGGTATTATAGTAATGAAATTAATGCTTTTGTGTGGTTGCCATTCTTATTCTATTTGTCAGGATGCCATACAGAGGGGCTCTAAATAAGAAGTGTTGCATAACATTAGTCCAAATCCTAAGCAGTTGTACCGTATTTTAAGTAATCTAAACCAAGGGCTTAGATTTTTGTTTACTGTATTGTATGTATCTTTCTAATTTATTACATTCTCTATTATTTGATTTTCTATTTTCCTATGATTTTGTTTGCTTATATAGACTCACAGTAACATGTTTAATGTATATTTCCCAATTTGAGTTAGATTTAAATGATCTATTTCTTGAGGAATAAGTGGATAATCTGCTTTTGTTGACATAAACTGCTATATAGATATTAGCTACTATTATTATTGTTTTAAAAATCTGAATTCATGCATGTTGGCAAAGTTGTATATAAAAGTTTTTTGTTTGTTTTTAGTTTTTTAAACATTCTGGTCATCCCTGGGCAGGGCACTTCAGATACCTTATTTGTACAATCAATTGACAATACTAGGTTCCTGGGATTATCTTAGCCTTTAACATTTCTGAGCCCTAGGCTGGTTTCTAAGCTTCCAGAGCCATGTTGGGGGTATATATCTAAATAACTTACCCTGTAAAATAAGACTCTTTCTCTAAGGCCCTGAGAACATGTTGCAGGACCAAGACCAAAGCACATCTTTTAAGCATCCTGGATTTATTCTCCCCCAGAAACTTTTGTGTATTATGGCCATGTGAGTTGCCATTAGTTATTTTGTACACTGAAATAATTATTGAAAAACAGTTTTGAAAACTAGAAATTGTATTGGCTCTAATTTTGTTTAAGCCTGGAATAGTTTTTTTTAAAAATAAGTTCTTACTTATGTCTTTTATTTTTTGCTCAATCATAGTGTCCACCAGAATTGGCTTTCCTTCCAGAGAGCCATCTCATATAGCAAATAACATTTTTTTAAAGACAAAAAAAAGTAGAGGAAAAAATCAACATAACTGAGCACTGAAAAAGTCTGAACATATATGTAATGTTTAATACTTGTGGACCCCCTACCTCTGCAAAGAGATAGAATGGGAGTGTCTTTTTATATCTCTTCTTTCTAAGCCATGCCTATTCTTTATAATTTCACAACATTAATTTTTTATTTTTGTGTGTGGTGGTTCTTTCTTTCCATTTAAGTTGTAGTCATTGTGCATAGTTTTCTTGATTCTGCTTACTTCATTCTGAATCAGTTCATGTAGACTTTTCCATGTTTCTTATTTTCATCATATTCATTCGTTATTTTTTTTTACAGCACAGTGATAAGCCATTCCCCATTTGATAGGCTTCTACTTCATTTCTAATTCTTTGCTACCACAAAAAGTGCTGCTATAAATATTTTGGTGTACTATATATAGGGACTTTTTTTTTTTCTTATCAGTGTCCTTCTTGGGACATAAGCCCAGTAATGGAATCTCTGGGTCAAAGTGTATGGACCTTTTAGTCACTTTATTTGCATAAGCCTATGATTAATTTAATAAAATAAATGGGGACGCATGTTAACAGAGTGAATAGAGTATTACAAGTACAGTTAGAAAAACTTTCACATAATAGCTATGTGAACTGGGATAAATCACTTCACTCTTCTGAGCCTCAGTTTTCTTATGAAGAAGTTGGACTAGATGGCCTCTAAGAGTTCCTCTATGATTTTAAATTCATATTCCTTATTAGCCCAGCAAAAGTTATTATACTGGATGGCTAAGTAGAAGAGTGGTTATTCACAAAACTTATTTAAATAATTTACAAATTATGAAGTGATTTATTTTTTTACACTTAACTCTTACCTGGGTTCTTTTTCCTTTAGCCCTTCTCCAGCTCATTAGCAACTGAAAACACTATTTTATTTAAGTTGAATTTAGTGTAAAGCAGATGGGTCTTGAACCTTGTTCAGGGGAATTTAGTTAAGACACTTCTAAAAGGATCTCAATTTAAGACAGATATTAGAATGCAAGTTCAGGGAATGGATTTTTTTTTTTACTTTCTTTGTAGCATTTAGCACAGTGCCTTGTAAAAAAGCTTGTTGATTAATTGATCCCACAGCATGTACTTAAAATTAGATGATGGCAAGTATATTTTAATCGTAGGCTAAATCTAGATTAATAGTACACAAAATGTGGGAAGTGTTGGAAATATACCAAATTTCCTTCTTCATCAGGAGTAGTGGCTTCTGAACTGAAGACATCAAAGACAGTGAGATAAAAGGTCTTCTTTTCACTTTTTTTAATCAGGTAAATAAAAGTGACCATCTTAAAATATAGAATGTTTAATAAGGTGGTAGAAGGAACCTGGCAAGGGAAATCTTTCTCATCCATGTATGTGTTTTGTGAGATAATTATATGTGTTGCAAGCCTAACCAACCCGCTTGCTACTTTCTCCAAGCTGTTTTATAAAATTGATATACTATTAGTCATAAACTACAGTTTTGGTATGACATAAAAAGCACATATTCATTTATAATTCTGTTTGCAAACAGATTTGTTATATAATATGATTCATTGCATTATTCTCTGCCAAATTGAGATTGTGGGTGCTAGATATGATATATCTGTGTCTAATGGACTTGAACTTGTTATAGTTTCATAACATTCATAATAGAGCATCTGACTGTTGATCTACAGTGCTGCATCTAGCTCAACCTTTCATAAGAAGCGATCTTTCTTTATTACTAGCAAAGATCTGTAAATTAATATCTGTAGCCTTCAGTAGCTGTCTACCAAAACAGTTTTATAAAGCCAGTTAGAAACATGAAGGGTAGTTGTTAATAACAGTATTTTGTTCACTTACAATTAATTACTACAAGCTAATACCAATTTGTTAAATTTTGGCCAATTGTTAAATAATCACTTAGCTATGTGTCATTTTAAATGCTCTAGTATTTAAACAACTGAACTGTAATTTGATTTTAATCTTTACTCCCAAGGCAAATTTGTGAAATAGAAGTTTTTCTTCTACATCTCCTCCACAAGTTCACAGGGTTACTATTTCTGCAGATCTGTTCTTCTTTCCCCAACAACTTCCTGTTGCCCCAATTCAATTTTATCTTTTCTGTAATCTTTTACTTTTTTTTTCAGTATCACTTTCTTGACCCAGTGTGTCGATTAACTAATCGAATAGACTCATCCTGAGACACTAATTTGGGGGAGCTAGGTGGCATAGTGGATAGAGTGCTGTGCCTGGAGTCAGAATGAATTCAAATCTGACCTCAGATGTTTACTAGCTATATGACCCTTGGCAAGTCACTTAACCTGTTTGCCTCAGTTTCCTCATCTTTAAAATGAGCTGGAGAAGGAATGGCAAACCACTCCAATATCTTTGCCAAGAAAACTTCAAATAGGGTCACAAAGAGTCAGACATGACTAAAATGACTAAACAACAATGCAACATTCATTTGGAAACAGTACCCAGCCTTTGCTGGCTGGGTGGACATTTCAAACTACGTAGAAGGGCAATGCTGTGACGAGGGAGATATTTTGAGACAGTTAGATCTTTCTGTGTCCATCAAATTAAATTAAGTAGATCATCACTTATAGCATCTTCTGTAGGGCTGACACTTTTGTCTCTATTACTAACTCTTTATAAGTCATGTCAGTCAGTCATCAAGCATTTATTAAATGCCTTTTATATTCAAGCATTTTGCTAAGCACTAGAAATAACAAAGAAAGATAAAAACGGGGTCCCTGCCCTCAAGAAACTGACATTCTACTGGGGGAGAGAAATACCTGCATTATATATGATATATTATTTGCAAATACCTGCAGTATATATAAGATATACACATTCGAAATGGAATGTAATCAGTGAAGGAAAGCTCTAGGGGTGGGATGGGGAAGAGACAAGGAGAGGCTTCCTGCGGAAGATGGTATTTGAGCTATATTATGAAGGAAGGCAGGAAGTCTAAGAGGTGGAGGTGAAGAGTGAGTCAGTAAATTAACATTTATTACTTACTGTGTGCCCATTTCTGTGTTTAAGATCCGAGGATGAAAAGAAAGGCAAAAATAACCCTTGCCCTCAAGTGGCTCACACTGTAATGGAGGAAATGCAAACAACTGTGCATTCAGGATTATACAAGGCATATTGGAAGTAGAGCATTCCAGAAATGGGAGATGGCCATTGCAAAGGCAGCATTAAGAAATAGCGTCATGTGTGAGGAACAGTAATTAGGCCAATATAACTGGATCACAGCATGAGTGTAGGAGACTAACGTGTGAGAAGACTGGAAAGGTAGAAAGGAGCGTGTTGTGAAGGACTTTAAATAAAACATCTCTGTGCTTTAGTTTCCTCATCTATAAAATGAGATACTTGTTTCTTTTTTTAAAAACTTAAACACACAATAAAAAAGAAAAAGAAACATTGTAAACTTAAATACAAAATAAGAAAAGAAAAAAAAAAGCATTGCCATTTGCAGAGCAGAAAGTAAGAGAAGATTCAAAATATACAGCAATAAATTTCCATTTCAAGAAAGCCTATATAACAAATACTATGTGTTGCATTCACAGCTGTCCATCTTTTCTTTGCCCCCTTGTAAGTTTTCTTTTGTTCTTTATGTGCACTTTTTACTTTGTTCTTTTTTCCCTGCCCCTTGCTCCTCTTCCCCACCCCATCCCACAAAGAAGGCTACAGTTAAGTGCGGATATATATGTATGTACGTATGTGTGTATATGTATATATGTATGCATGTGTATATATACATATATACATGCATATATACACTTGCAAACATATATACATATATGCATACACTTACATATACGTAGATATCTATAAGCATACTCATATACAGACATACATTCATATGCATCCATGTAAGACTGTACTATACTTATTTGTCCAAGGGGTACTTATTTCTTAACTACCTTTGAAGGATGATTATGAAGGTTCATAAGTTTTTTTCTAGTTTATCAAATAAAACAAGCATTTCTATAACATAGTACAATTAAAAAGATGATTATGCATGAAAC